TTAGCAGAGGCGAGACTGGAACACAAACGTCTGCCTCTAAGTTCATTTTTTTCTTAGAAGCATCTGGCACATGGAAAAAGATACCTGGAAGAAATTTCTGGAATAGTGCCAAACTGAAGTTGCCCTCACCTCCCTTATCTCTATTCCAGATAGAATCCCTGAACGTCCTCTTCATCTCGTTCAAAAGCTTGCTCATATCTTTAACAGCAGTGGGTCACAGATGCCAGTGATAAGAGCAGCCAAAACATTCGGACCGGAAGAAGAGTTCAGTGAGGGCTTCTCATGCCTCTATTTAGGGGATTTCAGATATCAGAGAGTGGTTAAGTAATAGGCCAGGTGCCACAAGTAAGTCCTGACCAATCACAGGTGCCAAAGCTTAAGTGTCTCCTGAGCAGTTCAATCTCCTCACATTATACTGCAGAGAACTGAAGGCCTCCCTGTTTGGCTGCCTGCTCACCCACAGGGGAAGGGGTAACTTAGAAAATGACTATCTTTTCTCCTCTTCTATCTCTATGCACACTAATTCTATTAAAGTTCTTTTACACTATTAAAAAAAAGAAAGAAAGAAAGAAAAGAAAACTGAGGGCCAGAGAAGGGAGTGAAGGTAATCCAATGTTGTACAGGGAGTTTGTGAAGAGAAAGATTCACTGCACCATACTCTGCTGGATAGTCTTTACAATTCTGGAAAGAAGAAAAGCTATTCTATTTGTCCATATCCCTTATAGGCCCAGGCTAACTTGGATTTTCTGCCTTTGTTTTAGGTAGAGCATCATGTCGAGTCTATACTGTTCATCACTGTAGGCAACAGTTTCTTAAATGTGACACCAGAATCACAACTGGCAGCATAAGTGATCTAATAGTAACTTCCATGCATTGAACTCCTTGAGAACAGGAATCCTAATTCATTTAGGATTGACAAACAAAACGTCCACTCTAGAGTCTTTAATATAGGGAGTTTGTTATATGAGGGTTGGAGGACGAAAGGGCTACAAAGTCAAGTGGATGGTGAAGCTACTCAAAGGTTAATAACAGCAAGGAATTGCCATCATCCCTAGAGAAGGAGGCTGCAGAAGAAGGTTGTGTTACCAGATTCCAGAAACTCGGGCAGGAGCTAAAGCTTAGGTGAGGCACCACATAGGTTAGCTCTCGTTGATGGACTCTGGGATGAGAGACACTGCTAGCAATGTGTTTGGAAGCAGAGAAAGGAGCATCCTAGTAATGATGGAAAAAGAGACCCTATGAGTAATGCCAAGAAGGAGTTGGAAATGCTGCATTAATATAGACTTAAAATTATTTATAAGCATGGGCCCTCCCTGGTGGTGCAGCGGGTTAAAGCACTGCACTAAGATGCTTAAGCCACTTCCGCATGAGTTCGATTCCCGCCTGCCCCGGAGGTGACCACATGGCGCGGCAGACCTCTCCTGACCCGCCCGCTGCTCCCCTCAGCAGTGTACTTCGTCCATCTGCCTGTTCTGCTCCCCACTCTGTCCCTAGTGAATCCTCTCACCCTCCACATCTCTGGCCTGTACCTCAGTTCCGTATGAATAAATATTTTTAAATCTTTAAAAAAAATTATTTATAAGCACAATGGACATTTTATAATAAAAAATCTAATCCATCAAGATATAATAAATAACATGTATGCAGCTAAACAACAGAGCTCCACAATACATGAAGCAAACACTGACAGATTAAAGGGAGAAACAGGAGACATAAACATTGGGAGACTTCAATAGCCTCCTATCAACAATGGATACAAGTAAACAGTAGATCAAGGAAATCGATGATATAAACACTATGAACCAAGAGAACCTAACAAATTTCTATAGACTACTTCACCCAACAACAGCAGAATATACAATCTTCTCAGATAGACAAGGAACATTCTCCAGAACAGATAATAAGACATAAGACAAATCTCAACAAATTTGGAAAAATGTGATTATAGAGTACATTCTCTGACCACAATCAGTAGCAGGAGGAAATCTGAAGAATTCCCAAATAATCAGAGGATCAAAGAACTCACAAAGGAATTAGAGAACACATTAAAATTAATGAAAATGAAAACCTATGTGATACAGGTAAAACAGTGCTTAGTATCACTCATATATAAAAAAAGTAGAAAAAAAGAAGAGCTGACATAACCTTTCTCCTTAAGAAATAAAAAATAATAATAACAGAATAAACTAAAACTAACCCAACTAAAATCTAGACTTACCTTGATACTAAAAACATACAAATAGGTCATTTGAAATAAAGCTACAGATCAAAATCCCTTATAAACATAGATGCAAAAATCCTCAACAAAATATTAACACACCAAATCTGGCAATAAAGAAAAAAATTATACACCATGGCAAGTGACTTATCCCAAGAATTCTAGATTGATTCAATCTACAAAAGTAAGTCTCTGTAATATAACATAGGGAGTCAAATAAAGGGGGCGGGGGGAGAAAAACCACCTTAGTACTCACAGAAAAAGCTTTTAACAAAACTAAGACTAGAAAAGAACAAAGCATATAAAAATTAACTCCAAATGGAGGAGAGTTAAATGTCAGAGCTAAAACCATAAAACTCTTAGAAGAAAACAGGAACACATCTTTGAGAACTTGAATAAGGCAATGGTTTGTTAGATATGATCTGAAAAGCACAAGTAACAGAAGAAAAATTAATAAATCAGATTTCAAAATTTGAACGGTTTGTGCTTCAAAGCATGCCATGCAGAAAGTGAAGTAACACAGAGAATGAAAGAAAATATGTACAAATCATAGAGCTAATAAGTAATTGTATCCAGAATATATAGTGAATTCTTGCAACACAGCAGTGAAAAAACAAATAACCCATTTTAAAATGGGCACAGAGAGCCTCCCTGGTAGCACAAGGGTTAAGTCTCAGCACTATCAAGCTATTGCCAGCCACTGCAGCATGAGTTCAATCCCTGGCCAGGGAGGTGACCCACATGGTGCAATAGACACATTCTGTCCCACCTACTTCTCCCCTTAGAAGTGTATTTCTGCTCTCCACTCTATCTCTGGTGAATCCTCTCACAACCACTCCACATCTCTGGCCTACACCCCAGTTCCTGTTTGCATAAATAAATTTTTTAAAAATAAATCTTTTAAAAGAATTTTTTTAAAGATTTATTTATTTGTGCATACAGAACTGGGGTACAGGCTAGAGGTGCAGGGGTGGTGAGAGACTTCACCAGAGACAGAGTGGGGAGCAGAACAGGCCGACTGACGAAGTACACTGCTGAGGGGAGCAGTGGGCAGGTCAGGAGAGGTCTGCCACACTATGTGGGTCACCTCTGGGATCGAATTTATGCTGAAGTGCTTTAGCTTCTCAGTGCTGTGCTTTAATCTGCTGTGCCACCAGGGAGGGCCTAAAAGAATTTTTTTTAATGGACACAAAATTTAAACTGACATTTCTACAAAGAAAATATGCAATTGATCAATACATACATGAAAATGTTCCAACCTCATTTGTCATTAAAGTAAAGCAAATCAATGGCGTGCCTGCTGACAAAGGGGTTAAGTCTCAGCACTAAGAAGCTGTCCACAGTCATTGCAACAGGAGTTGGATCCTCAGCCAGGGAGCTGACCCACACGGCACAGCAAACCTCTCCTGACCCACCCACTGCTCCCCTCAACAGTGTGCTTCATCGATCCGCCTGCTCTGCTCCCACTCTGTCTCTGGTGAAGCCTCTCACCCCCCACACCTCTGGCCCATACCCCAGCTCTTGTATGCATAAGTAAATTTTTTTTTTAATAAAGAAAATCAAAACCATAGTGAGATACCACTTCACACCCATTAAGAGGGCTAAAAGAAAAAAGAAAACAATAATAACAGCTTTGTTCAAGGGTGTGAAATCTGCACAAATTGCTGCTAAGAATATAAAATGGTGAGGCCACTTTGGAAAACAGTTTGAGGGGTTCTCAAAATACTGAACATAAAGTTGCCCTATGAAGCAATAATTCCATTCCAAGAGACATACCCAAGAGAAAAGCATATGCCCACACAAAAACTGGTACATGAATTTTCACAGCAGCATTATTCCTAATACCCAAAAAATAGAAATAGCCCAATGTCCAAATGATGATGGATAAGCAAAGTGTGGTGTAGCCACTACAGGTATATTACTAGGCCGTGAAAAGGAATGTGGAAGGGTGGAAGCCGTAACATGGGTGAGCCTTGAGCACGTTGTGCTGAGCCCACATGTAGAATTCTATTTCTGTGACTTTCCAGCGCCAAAAAAGTGATAGAGACAGAAGTAGACTGTGGTTGCTGAGGGCGGGAGGTGAAGGTGGAAGTGAGTAGTTATTGTTAATGAAAATTGGCCGCGAGGTATTGGGGGCTGGGCGTTGGCATGAAGAGTTGTAAAATTGTGATGGTTACAAACTCTGGGATTAGACCGAACCTACTGACTGGTACCCACTTAAAGGGTGGGCTTTAAGAGATGTGAGTCACATCTCAAAAAGCTGTATTTTAAAAGAAAGGAAGAGACCCAAAAAGATGAGAAAAAGAAGACACCTGAAACGTCCCCTGCTTCCTGCCATCACCTGTCAGTGCCTCCCCTTGGCCAAAGCCGCTCAGCAGTGGGAGGACAGAGCGGGTGGTGTGAAGAGCTGTGGCGCCGCAGGCGAGGGAGGGGAGGGTCTGGCCTCATGCGCCCCTGCCTTCTCGGCCCCCAGCCCCGTCTCAGGCTGCCGTCAGGCAGGGGATGTTGGGCCCCGTTCCCCTGTTTTAGTCTGAGCACCTCGAGGCTCTGCCATGCTGCCCGTGGGGCTTTTTGAATGTAAATTGGCCTATGATTCACGATCCTATGACCAGTGACGTTCCCCTACTCCTGGGTCCCGAAGGCCCAGGGGTGCCGGGTAAGGCAGGTTGGAGGAGGAACGAGTGGGAGTGGCAGGGAGGGGTGGCTTTTCTCACAGCTTAAAAAGGGGCTCTATACCACTTCCTCCCCAGACTGGGGGAGCGCCAGGCTCAACCAACACAGCCTTCCTGTGTGGTTTCAGATACCAAAAGCACCATGGATCTGGGTGAGTGGACCTCTTTGTTATACAAGGAGGGGTACTGGGGTCACTCTGACATCCCGACTGACTGTGATTTGGGGATAGCGGTGGAGGGGTGGGGTGCAGAAGGCATGGGGTGCCTCTAGAGAAAATCAAGTTCTGCTTTGGTGGGAACCGGCTGTTCTGTGGCAGTGTCACCCTGATCGCCTAAAGAAGGGGGCACCTTTGAGACCGGGGAGGGGCACACTCGGTGCCAGGGAAGACAAGGGAGGACAGAGTGTGTCCTTCTCCAGCGGTGCCGGCTGAAGAAGGAAGCAGGGCTGGGTTGGTGCTGATGAGGACAGTGGGGTCTTCTCTCAGCTTGGGGTGAGGGGGAGGCCCTCGGGGGTCTGTTTCATCAGGGGGCTGGGCATGACCCCTTCCCTCACCCACCTGGTAACAAGGGCTTCAGATCCGCTCTCCTGGGGGTTGGAGGGTTGGTGCACAGAGCAAACGGGATGCAAAAGCTGCAGCGGCGGCTGGCTCTGTCTGCTCCCTGGCGCGGCCCCTCAGCTTTGCACCGGAGCCTGGCAGGGTCAAGGCTGGGTGAGCCACATGGAAGAGAAGGGGCATTGACTCGAAGAAGTGTCAGCCTGGGCCTGATGCACAGGCCTGCCATGCTTGTCTATCCCCCCGTGCCTGACGCAGTCTGAACTAGAGAGAGGACGAGGGATGCGCCCAAGGGTTCAGGGGGGTCCATCCAGCTCCAGACGCCCCCGTGATAAATCTCGGCCAGAGAGTCAGACGCAGCTGAGGGGAAGAAGGTCAGGTTCCTGGACGGCTCATTCTCACTAGCGAGCAAGGCACCACGGCGGCCTCAAAGCCACAAGGGGGTTGACTTTAAAAAGTGAAGGTTCCCTGCGCTGTCCTCACGCCCTCTCACCATACCACAGCCTGTCGCCTTCATCTCCGCCCAACCCGCCCTCCACTCACCAGAGCCCTGGGGAGACTCAGCAAAACAGTGGGCTCCCCACCCACTGGCAGACGGCTCCTGAGAGGCACAGTCCGGCCCTTGCACCTTCTTCCCAGCCCAGTAGCTTGGGGTGTGAGCAGAAAATGTATGTGGGGTGAATGGATGGCCCCGGGATTCCCAGTTGACATTCATTTTTTAGTCTCTTCCAATGTGTTCTTCTGCCAGTGGCGTGGTCTCAAGTGGACATCCACCCCAGTGGCCACCGCCCTAGGATTCAGGTGAAGGTCCACTGGACCTCCAGCCTCTGGGCTCGACCTCTGGGGGGAACCAGCTGTGTCCCAGTGGGGAGCTGGCTAACGTGAACGCCGGGGTTCCTGGTGCAAGCTCATGTGGTGTAAATTCTCCCCCCAGGGCTGAATCCCAGCCGTCAGCTCATTTCAAGTGATGAAATGAACACAGGAGGACCCCTCTCATTCACCCAGCTTGTTTGAGCCCGCACCCCACAGAGGGTCCACCTGCAGCCCTAAGTTTGGGGGAGCCAAACCTGCAGGCTTTGATGCATGATGGAGGGGCCAGGGCTGAACATGCTGTAAAGGGATGATCCTCTGTATCACTCAACTCGAGAGCTCCAACGGCCAAGCCCAAAACACTGGTAATATCAGTAGGAAGGGAAGCCACTGAGAAGTTTTGCTCAGAACAGGCGCCAGAGTTGGGGGGACAGTACCGTTGGTACCGTTAGGAGGCTTCATCTGCCCAGCAGAGAACAAGCAGTCGATAGAGGGGGCCGAGTTTCTCTTACACAAAGTGAAAATGCCAAACCAGGGCTGAGCTGATCTTTTTCGCAATTTGAATGAGCATCCCGGGATGCTCCCCACGCAAGCACACTTCACTTTGAGATGCAGGGGACAGCATCAGATTTCTCCAAAGAAGAGCAAAGCAGCTGGGAGGCGCCTCTCTCTCATGGGGAGATAGCAGAGGAATCCCGCCAATCCCTCCCAGCCTTCAGAGAGCTCTGAGAGCAGAGACTCTGCAACTTGAGAGAGATGTAACCCTTGAGGTTTTGTGTGGCTAAGAGAATGCGCTTTAGCCTGGAAGCCGCCGGAGCCAGTGAGAGGCTTGTGTTTTAATAAAGTGGGTTAAAGAGCATACATGGTTTGCGTTTCAGAAAGCGCTTGGTGGCAACAAAGCCTTATACCAGGGCAGAGGTGAGGCCAGCTTGGAGATGTTAGGCAATAGAAGCAGCAGGGCCTGGAAGGAATGGGAGACAGCGGAGGGAGGGCCGGGCCCGCTTCCTGCCCACTGAGACCCCACCCCAGCAGGCTCGGCAGAAACGGAGCGTGACCCGTAGAGATCATTCCACTCGCTCCTCAGATCCATCCCTTAGGAGCTGTGTGACCATAGGCAAGTGTCCTAACCTCTCAGGTTGGGGACAGAGAGTCTCTACTTTCTGGAATATGGAAGGGGTAGCTGCCAAGGTGTTAGGAGGGGAAACGCATAAAGATTAAAAGACAGCTCAGAAGAGCAGTTAAGAGGGTGGTTTCTGGAGTAGATCAAGTTCAAAGCGAGGTCCACGATCAGTCAGCCCAGCTGTGGGACTCTGGGAAAGTCTCCGTTTCTACTGCGCTTCATTTTTCTTAATAAGGGGGATGATACTAGTCGCTGCCACGTGAGGCTTGTGAGGGTGAAGTACTGTTTTGTGGAAATGGTTTGGTGCCTAGGGAGAGTCCAGTGAAGGTGAATGGCATTAAGTGGTTGCTATGGCAATGACTGCCAAAACTCAGCCAGCGCCCACCTGTCCTGCTATTGTCTGACAGAGTCCCCCAGGCCTGTCACCTTCTCTCCAGATTCCTATCCACTTCCCCATATCTCCCCCCTCCCTCTCGCCTGCCCCCAAACAGAAAAATGTGTGGCAGATGAGGAATTCCAAAAAGAAAAGCTTGGGGTGACACCTGGAGGGCCTAGAAAATGTGGGCCTCAAGTTAAAGGAATGGGGGAGCCATCTCAGTCAGCCATCTCAGACACAGGAAGTTTCTCCTGCTGGGGACTCCTAGGGAATTTTCTCTTTGTGCTCATCACTACTAGAAACTCAAGAAGTCAGAAAATACCCAGCACACAAGTCTACTACCCCTGAGAGTCCCAGCCTCACTGGTCCCACCCAGTCTGCTGCCCAAGCAGATGCTTGATGACTTTGTAACAGGCAGAAATGATCTGACTCATGACCATTGACCAGGCCCCCTGTCAAAAAGTTCCCCTAAATTCCCATTTGGTTACCTTTAACCTTGGTTCTTACAAACGGCCAGTTCTAGTCCCACAAGATCTCTGCTCATCCGTGACCATTTCCAACAGACCTGAAATGAGAAATCACCCCTACACACACACACACACACACACACACACACACATATCTGCCCCCCTCTAGCTCCCTCTCCCCCAAAAGGAACGGACAGGCACAGGGAAAGGGGCCGATGGAGTAAAATAGAAACACAGTTCTTACATCTCATGTTTCACCGTTGTGCCTTATTAAACCTCAGAGTTTTCTCAGTTCTCACTACAGTCAGAGCAAGCTTTCTCTGGAGTAACTGAAAGCCTCCACTTGCTTCAAGAGACCTCCAGGGCTTCACAGGGGAGATGAGTCAGTGGAGGGGGGGCGGGGCTTTGAGCCCTGAAGACAGTGTGTTTCAGGGCAGAGCCCAGGGGCTGGGGAGGGTATTTCAGCCAGCAGAGGAGCAGGGGTGCTGGAAGAGGTGGTGTTCCCACCCAGAGCCACATGAGCTCAGGCCCACCTGGGGTCAACTGGACGCTGCACTGCTGCCCCTGAAGTAGGTGTGGCTAGAAGGCAGGGCCAAGTCAACACCGGGTTGTGGGGCTGGGGTGGGGGGTCGGGGCAGTTGGGTTTGACTGCCCTGCTAAGTAGCCGGGCTTACACGATCTGCTAGTAGCACGCAGCAAAACTTGCTTGAGGTGGGAAAAATACCAGTTTATTTATGCAGCCTGCTATCTTTCCTCCTTCCCCCAGGTACCCCCGCTATCTTTCCTCCTTCCCCCAGGTACCCCCGCACCCAGAAAGAACATACAGACACACCAGCACTAACTTCCAGCTTCCTGTGGTCTATGGGTGTTCTGCAGTGAGTTTCCAGCAGGTGGCGATGTGGCCACGGACACGGAATTTTAGGGACCAGGCTTTCTCTTGGGAAACAACCACTAGTTTGCTGGAGAGCCACACACACACACACCCCTCCTAGCCCGGGACCTCAGGGGTGCCTGAGGCAGAGTCCCAGGCTTTTCCCTGCCACTCCTGAAGCTGCAGGTGTGACTGGTCTGCAGGGGCTGCCTTGGCATTCAGTTACTGATTCTCCTGCCAGGCCAGACCCTGCTTGGGAACAGAAAGTCAAGTTAGAGGGACGCAGCACCTGCCATGGGGGTACCAGAGACGTCCACATCAATTACCTTGTCCCTGATCTTCCTCAGAGGACTTCAGTTCAGGGCCAACCTTCAGCTCGGTCACAAATTGGAACTAAACAGCCAAATGTCCATCTTCAGTCCTCAGCACGGGGGCCTGTGGTCCTGGGAGTCTCGCCTGGCTGTTCAGACCCAGGGAGAGCTTCCTGGCTTCTGGAATGTTCCCTAGGCAAGCTGAGTAAGGCCCCTTTCCACAGCTGGCCATGTTCCCCTCCCAGCCATCCTCCAAGGCCCCGAGCAGGGACAGGTTCAAGGAGAGTGCATACAGAAACACTCCAGTTACACAAAAATAAGTAGTTACCTCAGGGAATGGTCATCCTACCTCACTGCCCAGGGGAGTCCCTTCAGGCCACTTTGGTGTGCCCTCCCTTAAAAGAAGGGCAAGCAGGGCATTCATTTATTCATTTATTCATTCAGCAGCACCCACATACTGGGTACCTCCTCAGTTCTGAGCCCCACAAAAAGGCTGAGGGGTTGGGTCAGCCTGTTTTGAGCCAGGTAAAGTCAGCGCTAAGTGAATGTCAGTGAAATGAGGGATTTGGGGGAAGCAGGTGGGTCCCCAAAGCACTCTCCCCTCCTTGAGAATAGGAAACCTCGCTCTATCGGCCAGTTGTGTGAAATCACCTCATTTCCTCGGCCAGCTCCCCTAGGTGAGAGTCAGGGATTCACATCTGGCTACGCTCCCCCCTGAGCAGAGGAGAAAAGTTCCCTAACTCCTGGCACCGGGCTAGCACACTCCACATCACAACAATTCACATAACACACGAGCCACATAGCACGCGCCAGCACGACAGCAAGCCCCGCACAAGTACACCATGTGCACAGACACCAGCCTCCCGTTCTGCATAGCACAGTGAGCTGAGCCGCTCAAACCCAGAGGGGGAGGTCAGCGGTAGGGAGGCGCAGCCCCGCAGCGTGGGCGAGGCCAAGGTGGCGGTCCAGCTCCAGAGCGCCCGCCCGCCCGCCCGCCCGAGGAGCCCAGAGCAGAGAGGCTGCCTGCATTCTGATCTGCTCCTTTATGGGACATGGGAGTGAGGGAGGAAGAGGAGGACAGGGCAGGGGCACTTGGCAGCCCGCCCGGCGCTCTGAGGCGCAATCTGGTTCTGATGTTCTGTTTCAAACGCAGGCCCTGGAGCCCGTGACGAAGGTTCCAGCAGCCCTGTCTCAAGGCTTCTTTAATAACAAAGAGCTGCCCCGGCCAGCAGTAACTTTCTCACCTTGTCTCCCGCAGGGAAACCAATGAAAAGCGTGCTGGTGGTGGTTCTCCTTGTCATTTTCCAGGTGAGGCCTCCTGCCGAGTAATGTGCTGTTCCCTTCTGCACACCCCCACCCCCAAGCGTACCCCTCCCCAAGCGTGGGGTTCTGGTGGGGAGCTGGGTATTTGCTGGAAGGAAATAAGTGTCCCTGACACAAGCCCCCTCGCCACTCATTAAGCTGATGGTACGGCCTCACATCTGCTGGGTGACCCTAGAAAACCACAGATGTTCTCTGAACGGCCCGGCCCTTAGTCCATTAAATTATAGCATGGGAGGGTAGAGTCAGGTGTCTTCCTCACCCCCTTCCCCACCAAGGAGACAGAAACAGGGCCCGGCTCGGTCCTTGGAGAGAGAGGAGCTACAAAAAGCAAAAACGGAGGTTGCAGGGGTTGCCCCCAACCTAAAGCTGTCTCCTGGCCCCAACCTTCAGCTGGAGGCTGAAGGGAAAGAAAGACCCATTTTGGGAACTAGAAACCCATCTGAGACCCATTACTGGGGAGCAAGAAGGGGCGGGTCCCAGCACTGGGGAGAGCGTGGGATGGAGCACAGACTTCCCAGGGGCCTGGATTCTGCCACAGCAAAGGCCCTCTGGTTTTCACAGCTCTCCTCAGTCCAGGAGTGGAGACCATCTGCCTCTACCAGGTGCCCGAGTCAGAGGAAACCCTAACCTGGAGAGTTATTCTTCCCCGTTTGTGGGGGCGGGGAGCTCTCCTGCAGATCTGGAGGGACGGTGCTTCAGAATCTGGCTCTTCCCCAGGCCTGGAGGCCAGAGAGGCAGCTTTCCAGGAACTCTGGCCAGAGGCAGGCCCCAATTGGGCACAGTTCCCAAAACCCCATTCCAGAGGCCCCCCTGGAGCTTGGGTTGCAGCCCAGGGCCTGGCCCCATTCCCCATCACCACACCCTTCCCTTCTCCCCTAGTGGGGAACTCGAAGGGGCTGCACAGCTCACGATGGATGCTGGGAGGACAGGGGTGGGGGTGAGTGACAGCTCTGGTCTGGGCCACAACTTAGATTGGGTGGGGGTGGGGGTGAGGGGGGCCCAAATGGGACAGGATGTGGTGGGGTGTGGGTTGCAGGGGTGTCAAGCCTGGTAGCCCTTTGGCGGAGACTTTAGTTAAAGGGGGGTATTAAAGTCTCTCCTCTTTAGGGGAGTAGTTAAAAGCAGAGTGGAAAAAAAAGCAGAGTGGGGTGGTGGGGTGCACACATCATAGATGGGGTACACTGCCCTCCAGGAAGGCATGCCTGAGGTCTCGGGGCATTTCCCTGGGCATCCAAGGACAGCCAGTCCCTCCCGGGATCCCCAGCTACACCCCTGCCAGGACCAGGGAAAGGCGGTTGCACTGACAACTTGAGATAGCAGTGTCCAGAGAAAGGCTCCCGAGTGCTAGTTCATCCTCATCCTGTGCCCAAGCTGGCCAGTGATGAATCCAGAATCAGAAAGTGAGAAAGAGACAGGAGAGCCAGGGGCCGGGTTCCCTAGCCAGGGGGAGGCCACATCTCTCCTCAGAGGCCGCCTCTTCCAGCTCCCTTGACCCCTCCATGCCCCAGAGCATAGGCTGCCTGGGACCCTCTTCCCGGGGGGCACCAAGCTCCCTGAGGCCGTCTCCCGCGTGGTGCAGCTCACCCGGACACAGGCTCAGCCACTGTCACTGCAGAGAGCTGTGTGCTGCCTCCTTCATTGATAAAATCGCAGCGGCTGCCTGAGCCCTCAGCCTGTCCCGCAGATGCTAAAAAAAGCCCTGAGCAGCTGAGCCCTGCTGATTGGGATCTGCCGGAAGACAGAGGTAGAGTAGGAGGTTGGGGGTGGGTGGGAGCCAGAGGGGGGGGGTGCCAGAGCTTCCTGGGTGACAGCTGAGGGGCAGCAGGCCCACCGCCCCGCCACCACGCAGGCAGCGACTGGAGCCCGGGCGCAGGGGCAGGGCTGCCCAGCTCCTGCTGCACGCTGGGCCCACCCCCACCCACCAGCCACCACCCGTGATCCGGGCAGCTTCCCCCAAATCCAGGACCTGCAGGCCTCTCAGCAAAGCCTCCGCCTCCCTCTTCCGTCATTTCAGGCCCCCTCAGTCTTAATCCAAAGGGGATGTCCCCTCAAACGCTGTGTCTTGTAGCCCCCTGCCAAGCTCTTCCTCCCAGGCTCTACAGGAGGTTCCAGGAAGTCGCACTGTAGGGCTCCCTCTCTCCTGGGGCCTCCAGCCGGCAAAACCAGACCCCCGTGGAGGCAGATGGGGCCAGAGCCCGGGCCTCTCCATCTGAGGAGAGAGTGCTCCTCTCCCCTCACAGATGAGGAAACTGAGGCTCAGAGAGCTGCCTTCCACCCACCAAGGGCTCCTCTGACCCCGAAGCCCACTCTTTCCTGCCCACCATCGGCCCCTGGAAGGGCAGTGCCCCAGCCTGGCAAAACCAGACCCTTCCTGCATAGGACACACTTAGCCTCTCGGGCTCCACGGCAGCCTCCTCGCCAGGACCGACGTTTGGACTAGCTCCTAGGGCAGTTCCCAGGCACGTGAAAAGTCAAGACGTGCTGACTTCCAAACTAGAGAGTTTAGGAAAACAGAGCCCAGGGCCCCGCCCCCGAGTCTCTGGTTCTGTGGGGCCCCAGATCCTGCAGGGGAGATGGGGGGGGGGGCAGGTGCAGAGGGCCATGTTTTGAGACCGCTGCTCTGGGCCCTCGGGGGCAGTGTGCCCACACACGCGCGCTGAGTGCCTGTGCTGCTCCCCCAGGTGTGCCTGTGCCAGGATGAGGTCACCGACGACTACATAGGCGATAACACCACAGTGGACTACCGGCTGTTCGAGTCCGTGTGCTTCAAGGACGACGTGCGGGCCTTCAAGGCCTGGTTCCTCCCCATCATTTACGGCATCATTTGCTTCCTGGGCCTGCTGGGCAACGGGCTGGTCATCCTGACCTACATCTACTTCAAGAGGCTCAAAACCATGACCGACACCTACCTGCTCAACCTGGCCTTGGCGGACATCCTGTTCCTCCTGACCCTGCCCTTCTGGGCCTACAGTGCTGCCAAGTCTTGGATATTTGGTGTCCAAGTCTGCAAACTCATCTTCGGCGTCTACAAGACGAGCTTCTTCAGCGGCATGCTCCTGCTGCTGTGCATCAGCGTAGACCGCTACGTGGCCATCGTCCAGGCTGTGTCGGCGCACCGCCACCGGGCCCGTGTCCTTCTCGTCAGCAAGCTGTCCTGTGTGGGCATCTGGATCCTGGCCGTGATGCTGTCCACCCCGGAGCTGCTGTACAGCGGCCTCCAGAAGAGCACCAGTGAGCAGGTGCTGCGGTGCTCCCTCATCACGGAGCACGTGGAGGCCTTGATCACCATCCAGGTGGCCCAGATGGTGGTGGGCTTTCTCATCCCCCTGCTGGCCATGAGCTTCTGCTACCTGGTCATCATCCGCACCCTGCTCCATGCACGCAACTTTGAGCGCAACAAGGCCATCAAGGTGATCATCGCTGTGGTCGTGGTCTTCATCGCCTTCCAGCTGCCCTACAATGGGGTGATCCTGGCCCAGACGGTGGCCAACTTCAACATCACCACCAGCAGCAGCTGTGAGCTCAGCAAGCAGCTCAATATCGCCTACGACGTCACCTACAGCCTGGCCTGCGTCCGCTGCTGCGTCAACCCTTTCTTGTACGCCTTCATCGGCGTCAAGTTCCGCAACGACCTCTTCAAGCTGTTCAAGGACCTGGGGTGTCTCAGCCAGGGCCGGCTCCAGCAGTGGTCATCCTGCCGGCACACCCGGCGCTCGTCCATGAGTGTGGAGGCCGAGACCACCACCACCTTCTCCCCATAGGAGGTCCTGTGCCTGGACAGGCGGCACCTCTCCCAGGTCCCCTGGGTCAGGGACAGGGAGCAGAGGACATGATTCCAGACCCACAAGCTGCTGAGGGAAGGAGTTCTGGCGGCGCCCTGGAGGCAGGCCAGCCCGACCCTGCTACCTCCACCGCGGTGACTGAGCAGCTCCCTACAAGCACCAGCAGTGGACGTCAAGAAACAAGTTCTCAGGCCCTGGAGTGTGGGTGTCGGTGGGAGCTACGGGCGGTGGAAGGGGCCTGGAGTGTCCAGAGGCCTCCCTGAGATTCAAGGACCGAGTCAAGGTCTTCCAGAAGACAAGACTTTGCCTCCGAGTCGAGAGACGGTGGAGAGATTCTCGGCTTCGCGGGGGTGAGGGGCCACCGATGAGTGGAACCTAAGTCCCTGGGTCTCTCCCTCTTTTTCCACTGCCATGGAGCCAGCAAGCAAGAAATGGGCGCCCCGGGGCCTCTCCACAGCAGGCCGGTGCAGTCAGTGGGGCAGCTGCCCTTCCAGGCTCTCTGGGGGAAGGGTGTGGTGTTTCCTGCTGGCCAGGCTGGCAGCCTCAGGGCCAAAGCTATGTTCCTAGTGAGGCTTCTGGGAGAGGGAGGGAGGATCAGCCCTTCTCAGGTCTCAGCCCGCAGGAGGGAAGGAGAGAGCAGGAGAGAGGCTGGAACTGGGGAGTGGATGACGCTGCGGCTGCTGAAAGGCCAAGAGCTGCTTCTTTGCCACCCGACAAAAAAACTCTCATCCTGTTCTGCTTTCAATTCACTCAGAGAGCACATTTTACTCATACACAAATAAATAAAAGTTTTCCCTTAAGGAAACAATAGCTTTAAAAGAAAGGGGGAAAGTCTGGTAAATGGCAAATGAGTGTTTTCTTGTTTTGCAAACCCTGAGGCCACACCTGACCACCCCATTTCCTTTCTCCCCATCTTCACTTCTCAGAGCTGCCCAGAGCCCTGAGGCAAGCTTGGGCCCAGCCTTGAGGTCCCTGATGGGGAGTGGAGAGGGAAAGCTCAGGCCAGTCACCTGCGAAGCCCCCTCGAGAGCTCGTGAGGCAGCGGGCAGGGCCTGCATTGTGCTTTGGACAGAATCAAGCTGCCCCTGGAACCTCCGTGGCCGCGTTCTCCCCTAACCCTAGTGCCTCACTCTGCTTCTCTGTCCCAGCTGAGCCTGGAACAGACATGCTTGACCCATCAGACTTGGTGTTTACAAGTCGGGCCTTTCTCTGGGCTCGAAGACCTCAGCTTGTGGGATCAAGGGGGCCTGGGATGGAACTCATGTGCTGAGCACCACAAAGCCAGGCACTTGGGAGCCTCCCTGGTGGCCACCGCTGCCTCGATGGCCTTCCACAGGGTGGACGCCATCATGGAGGGGGGCACCCAGGCCCACTACTGTCCCCTATCACTGGGTACTGTGTCCTTATCACTGGGTACTGTGACCCACCCAGAAACCTTCTTCCAGGCCCAAGAGAAGGTTGGTCCACCACGCTGTGAGATGGGGGTGGGTGTGTGGGGGTTCAGTGGGGCAGAAACTCAGGACCTGGGATGTTGGAGACGCTCACACCAGCTCATTCCAACAAGCGAGGCTTGTTGAAAAGGAGCTTGCTGGCCCTGAAGCCACTGTCATCCCATCAGCACAACGCACGAGCCTCCACAGGATCCGCGGGAGAGGTTGTGGTGTGGACACGGAAAGAGATTAGGGACAGAGAACAGCCCTCGTCCTGAGGGGTGGGTTGTCACCGAGTGATCGGGAACAGGGAGCCCAGCCAGTCCCACAAACACGCCATCTCAGCTTCAAATGAATTTTTCTAAAATTACTAGATGTCTCCAAGTATTTACAAAGACAACAGAACCCCGTCAGTATCAATTTCCCTAACTGCTATATCTCGGGCATCTGACCCTGGCTGCTGGCTGTGTTTATGTGTATCTACCCTGCGCGCTGGGGAAACCCCGGGAAGAGGGAAGGCCCCCCCCCCGGGCCTCTCCCCCTCTCTCTCTCATCTCACAGCCCCCACAGCTGCTCCACATCTTCCTGAGGGAATCAGCCCTTTGTGCCTTCCCTCTCCCCAGGCCACAAATGGGTCCCCTCAGCTGGAAGCGCACCTCTCCAATCAAGGACTCACAGAGCTGCAAGGGACCTCGAACATGAGCTGGTCTGATGTCCAGTCATTCTCTAGATGGAGAAACCAAGGCCCAGAAGGGAGAGACTTGGAATTGTAAGACATAGCTAAGTCCCCTTGGGGGCCCTGGGAGAGGCAGGGTTTCAGGAGGTGGGTGGGGACATGAAGCTCTGGAGCCAGGCCGGAGTCAACTCTCTCTACTGCTTCCCAGCTGTGTGACCTTCAGCTGTTGCTCAACCGCTCTGAGTCTCAGATTTCTCCACTGCCCCGTGGAGGGGGCCGGTAAATACTGAGCGCCGTGCCTGGAACGTTGCGTGTGGCATGAGGAGCATCCGAACTGCCCTCCGGTTCCCTGTCAGCTCTACTGCTCAGGCTGGCTGTTCGGTGTCTCTGCCTCAGTGTCCTGGTCTATGGTACAGTGGGCACAATATCAGCGTAGCTGCCTCCCAAGGTTGAAGAGTGAATGGATTCTTATGTGTAAAATGCTCACAAATGCTTATAAAGGTGTAATCATCGTGTAAGAGATAGTTAATAAGTGGTAGCTAAAAAGTAAGATAGCTGTTCACTGCAAGAAAACCAAATTCAATTCTTTAACCCCATTTCCATCCCAAACAATTTAAAAACCAAGTGAGGGGGTCAACTTTCAGTCTATTAGCCCATGCACCCCACCAACTGTCCAGGTAAGTCAGCTGAGGCTTAGCAAAGGAAATTACTTAGCTGAGGTCTCTTGGGAACTCGGAGCGAAGCTGGAGCTCGAGCCCAGGGCCCAAGCTCCCACCCTGAGCCCTTCCCTCACACCTCCTGCACCTGCTCACCTACCCCACACCCACCCTGCACAGGCCACCCTTACCCCAAACCGGCTAGTTCTCTGGCAAGCACAGTCCACTAGTCCTGTGCCAGCTCCTTAAGGAGAATCCTCCGACCCCGCTCAGACAGTTCTGTCCTCGCCACTGGATCACAAGCATGAAATGTAAAAGAAGCGTGGCCATGGTGGCAGACCCCACAGACATCCATGACTGATCCTTCAGAAAGGATTCCCTCTGGGAGCCAGCTTCTCAGCTGCCTTCTGTGCTGAGGAGGAGAGCTGGGTCTATGGAGGGGGTGGGGTGAGGTCGAGGCAGAGGCCTTGGGGAGCGGGCCCAAGGTGGGGGAAGCTTGGCAGGAGTGGATTCCAGGGCTAGCTGCTGGGGCTGGACTTGGGAGCACAGTCACGCACCCTGTAATGTTGTTTTGGTCAACACCAGACCACAGCATGACGGTCATCCCCAGCCCCGTGGTGACGTCATGAGACCTTTTGGCAACAACTTTATAGCTTGTGTTTACTGTGTCTCTTGATGGCATCATTATCCTCTACGCTGGACTTAATGTCATGTTGTTTCACTCATCGTGGCCCCAGCGTGTACAAAATCCACCGCTGACGCCGCGTTCCCACGATGACCAAACGGAACGGCCTACGGACGCGTTTCTCAGAACCACTCCCCATCAGTAAGCAAAATGTGACTGTGCTCTCGGTGTGTAGAAAGACATCCCACACACACTCTCACACACACACACTACACACACATTGATTCCCTCACACATACTACACACACTTTCAATCATATACTATACACACATCCACTCACACACACCACACACACATTCACTCACACACACTACACACACCATGCACATACCACACACACATACTACACACACATTGATTCCCTCACACATACTACACACACACTCACACACACACCACACACATTCACTCACACACACACCACACACACATTCACTCACACACTACACACACCATGCACACACCACACACACACTACACACACATTCACTCTCACACACTACACACACATTCACTCACACACACACTACACACACTCTCACACACTCTCTCACTCTCTCTCACACACTCACTCTCATACACTCACTCTCACACTCTCACACACACACACACACACACACACACACGCCGCCCTTCTCCAGGCTCCCAGTCTCAGGTGAGAAGGGCTCTATCAACCTTACAGACAGATAGACCTGGGACCTTCTTCACTGACTGGGAGGTTTAGAAATGGCCGTTTCCCTGATTTAAGCCCCTAAAAAAATCCCAGGGAGAAACAGAGAGAGCTGTTTTGCCCCTTCAATTCAAGACAGCCCCTCTGTCACCTCCCAGCCCTGCCGCAGGGCCGCGTCCAGCGCTGGAGGGTGGATGCCTCACTACCCGCACTCCCCCATCATCCGTCTGGAAAGAGACGCAGACAAGGCCTCTCTGGCCTGGCAGAGCGGCTCTGGGCGGGTGGGTCTGAGGCAGACGCCCCCACGGCCTCCTGTGTGTGTGGCCCGACCAGCCCTCTCTGCTGCCGCCAGTTCTTCCCCTCCAATGCACTTTGGGGAGCAGCGAACCTTATTTTGCCTGTTTGCTTACGCCAGAGTTCGCGTGCTGGGTGGTTCTGTGTCCCAAGAGCCACGCCACAGCGCGGCCTCCAGGTTCTCGCTGCTTGTAGATAAGCCTCGGCCTGCCCTGCAGAGCCGGGTGAGGCGTGGCGGGGCTCCCGCCCCCCCCCCCCCCAGGGCCATCGGTTCTGCAGTCAGACACCAGCAAGAGGGCAGGTGATTTGCCCCGAGTCATCCGCTGCCTGTGTCAGAGCTTGCTGAGGATGAGGGTTTGTATTGGTTCTCAGGAAGCGCCTGCCCGGGTCCACAGATGCCTCAGGTGCTGCAGGCCACACGCTCCCAAGCCTGTTCCCCTGGTTCCCAAAGAAGCCAACATGTACCTTCACCTGGTGTGGCTCATGCAAACTGCACCCCAGGGGCCGAGGGGGAGCAGGATCATGCTAGGATTGAGGGTACATTCCTCTCCCCAGGGGTGGGATTGGGCTCTGCCTCCTGCCTGGAAGCCTGGTGTCCTCCCGGACAGCTGACTCCCCCTCACAGCTGTCCTGCCTCGACCAACACACTCAGCCCTCTCTGGACACCCCCACTTTAGGGAGGCTCACCTGTAAGAGCTGCTGCTGGTGCCCCC